AGATCGAGGGAACCAGATATGGTATTAAATGACCATTATATACGAGGTTCATGGATATTGACAAATTGCTAAAAATCATATCCACGAGTTCTGTGACTTTCACGTTGATGGGTTACGGTAAACCTAGTGTTAAGACATGGTATAAAGCGGAGAGCCAGGAACAGCTATGAAGAGACACGCGGAATTAGGGGTAGACGAGTAAGACCAGAGAACGTAGAGTCAAAGAGAGAGCACATTCACAGAGACAGAGATAGAGCGATACAGGAAGAGGGGACACATATAGAGAGAGAAAGAGAAAGAGAAAGAGAGAGAGCAAAGCCGGAGATCCTGGCTTGAGTGTACGATGGAATCACAAGTATTATCGTTTACGAGAACGCGTGGGTGTGAGAGTAAAAGTAAGAAGAGGTGGGAAGAGGGGGGAGGGAGAAGAAACGACAGGAATCGTGGGCAAGAGCGAGGCGATGTCGGCGGTTAGGGGAGGGGGAAGGAGGGTGGGGGCGAGCAGGCAGGAGGGGTACATCAGAAACCTGATTTTAATTAGTCCACAGTTTAATTACTCGGCAGATAAATCGTGCACGTGCACCGCATAAACTAGCCGCTTTCATTTTTCCCGGACGCGGCCGGCACGGTCGCGCTTAGCTCTACGCCGCGAGAATGCGGGATGGGTCATTGTTGCTGGCTCCGCTCGTGGAAAGAGAAATGACCGCGCTTAACCGTCATCGAGTCGGCCGGATAATAGTTAGTCGGTTTACGCGTCCGCCGCGTCGGCTTGTAATCCTTCCACGTCGAGGCTTCCTTCGGGGTACGAGGCATTTCTTTGAATTCGCCAACGAATTTTTACCAGATAATCGGAGGGAGACGATCGACCACCGGGGGATCAATCGAAAACCGAGCCTAATGCCCCGAAATGATACTCCTGCGACTTTACTGCGATCGTGTTGCAAAAAAACTCTTCCCTTTATTTGCACGCCAGCCTCGGGGGAACGAGCTTCTTCTTGTTCCGAGTACCACTTTCATCCCTGCTCAAAAAACTCTCGATTCTTGCCTGAGATTAACTCTGAATTCGTGAAAATAATTTTGCAATGTCTGAAACGTGCCAGCTCCCGCGTAACAGGGTAGTTACGTTTCTAACAGATGTTACACGGGATTAAACATTAACCCTTCGCACTCCGAGAATATTTACTAATATGAACGATTAGCAATACCAAATTAGATTTTGTGATGTGATTTCTAAAAACACAAAAATTGTCTTCTCTCCACAAACATGTACATGAACACATACATATAATTTAAATTTTATATACAGGGTGTTCGGCCACTCCTGGGAAAAATTTGAATGGAAGATTCTAGAGGTCAAAATAAGACGAAAATCAAGAATATCAATTTCTTGCCTGAGGCTTCAAACCATTCTGAAAAATTATTTTTGGTTGCGGAAATCAATTACAATCATTTTGGGGGAATCCTACCCACTTTCGAGAAAAAAATTAGGGCGGGTGCTTAAATTTTTCGGCGAAAAAAATTGTTTCAAAACGTTCTGGAAAAATTAGTTTCAGTTACGGGGGGCAATTACAATCACTTTGGGTGAATACACATACCCCCGAAATCCTACTCACTTTCGAAAAAAAAATTCGAGAATGTGTGAAATTTTTCGGCGGAAACAAAAATTTCAAATCGTTTTGGAAAAATTATTTTCGGTTGCGGGGGTCAATTACAATAATTTTTGGTGAATAGACCTGCCCCCGAAATCCTGCGTATTTTCGAGATAAAAATTCAGTACGGTACTCCATCGACAAATTGGTATTCTTGACTTTCGTCTTATTAAAATTTTCCCGAGAGGTGGTCGAATACCCTGTATATTTTCTAAATTCACTTTGTATCATAAATGGAACTTCGATCGAGCTATGGTACGTGTTATGTTTGTCGCCATAGCAGCGCCAGTAGAGTGCAAAGGGTTAATAAAAAGTTTCTCTGAGAAGGATAATGAAAAATATCGTTTTGGTAATTACAATGGACGTATTTGTTGGAGCTATTAGAATCGCGGGATAATTGTAACCCATTGACGCTTGATTTCCTGAAATATCGTTTGATGTGAAAGGTGACGCGTGTTTATATATTCGTGACAGCGAAGAAGAGGGAAAAGAGCGAACAAACTTTCGCTCTCGGTCGAAGCGAGCGCGTTATCAAGGAACGAATCATTTAAACGGGACCGTTTCGAGCAATAATATTGCCTTGATGATACGCCGTTCCGAAGCGAAGGTGTTAATGTACAGTCAACAAATCATTTTGTTCGTTTTGGGAAAATCTGTTGATGCTGCGCCGCGGGAATGCGGAATGGGTCATTGTTACCGGCTCGGCCGCGGAAAGAGAAATGACCGCGTGCTCCTGTCATCGAATCATCCGGTTCACGGTCGGGATACATGCTGCGTACGTCGATACGCTACCCTATATATGTTTTTTCCATACATAGTTATATACTTTCCGCGCTTTTGCCGGCGATAAAACGGAGCCGGCCGGTGAAATCGAAACCATAAACCGTGTTAGGCATCGGCGGCTCGTAAAATTCACGCGATCTACGCTCTTAGACCGTGCCACCAATTAAATGAGTATCGTTTAGCGGTACAAATATAAATCTGAATACATAATTAATCGTTCGCCGATGCGATAAACATTAATTTACACATTTTCTGTTAGAGAAATCGTTGGATCCCGTGCACGTACCGCGCGCAAATTACGTAAAAAGAAAGGAAAATTTAACCCAGATTCGCAAGAGAGTTTCGTCCGCTGTTAAAGAATAATATTAACTGCTTCCGTGAGTCTTGTGAATTTTTCTTTATTATACAACCGAAATGTCGTATTTAATAGCTAGGAAATTATTCGTTTATTAAAGTATGCCGCAAGAAACGTCAGAATTTTTAAATTCCTCGCTAGAAAGTCTTGTTCTCGCGGCGGCTATCCGTTTGTTTAAATTATTCTCGGCCGTGATGTACGATTCGGTATTTTTTTTATATAGATTCCTGCCTGTTTGGGTCACATTACTTTCAAAAAGTCATAAAGGAAGCTAATCAGGCAATAATTCGTCGAGCATAGCGCGGTGCTGCCATCTTTCACAAGTTCGAATTGCCCATACGTTGACTTCCGTTATCATAACGGAAGATTGTCCATTAGATTTCATTATAATTAACCGATTTACAGATAGCGTTCCGTGTACGATCTCAGGCTCGCTGCTTACTACAGGCTTTAAAAGAAATCGGAATGCATAATCCCTGTTTACTGATAATTTGAATACGCAGTGATAAGCAGTGATCGTTTAAACACGCGGAAAAGACATACAAATTCTCCGAAGGTAGGCCAGTTCGGATAAAAACCAATCTCTGTACTAGTTTACCTCGTACACTGTTTAAAGCAGCTCGAGCGTTAAAGTTATATTATAAAATCGTTATGGCAAGTTGCACCGTTTCATAGCCGAAGTTTCATCGACAAAATTTGGGTCAGAGACTCAATATTTTTCGTGTTATTCAACATGCAGTAAAAGGAAGCAAACTAGTCTTTCGAATCGAATAAAATTCAATAAATCAAGGTTTTTAATTTTTATTCGAGTATTTATTCGTTTCCTCGGGTTAAAAAAATATTGTATTTCTGACCCTATAATGGTACACTTCAAAGTTCCGAGGAAAGTGTAACAAAATGCACGCGAAGAGGGTCAAGTTTTCTGTACTGGGAGTCGATGCAAATGATCGTCGGTTCTGCTCAGTGAATTTTTTAAATAGCTACAGTATTTTCACTGTACAAAGGTAGCATAATCAATAGGTTTTTAATTGAAATCTGGAATGGGGGAATTAATGAAATATAATCGTGTTCAACCATTCAGAGCGTAGACGACAATGTGTAAGTCGCTGCAGAACCTTGATAAATCGAATGGCGATTACCGTTCGTTATGAGACGGTTGGTATCAGCGACCCCGGCCTAAGGATGAATCAAAGTTTGAGTTTCGCTAATTACAGATCCTGATACGCCGTTCTGAGAAAATTGAGGGCCTCCTGGTGTGCGTGCGTTCCGTGCACGAGGCGAAACCGATACCTCGGGGAGGAAGCCGATAGGCGACTTCTTTCGCGACACGAATAAAACCGGCGGTACCTGTAAGCGGCGCGAGCACGACCGCCGCGATCCCAGTAACGGTTTCCCCCATTCTAATTAACATTCCGCGTATTTATTAGACGCGGATCTGCAATTAATCAGGCGGATTCAATTAGCGAATTACCAATTAGCACGCACGCGTTCACACGCTCTCGGACACCGCTTGAGATCCTGTTGGACGATTGCGGAATATAATCGCGTTGCACGAAACGCCGCGTTAAATCGCCAATCGACGATCCCGAGGACCGCCTTTTTCTCTCGATTTCACAAATGTTTTCTATCATTTTCGCAAACATTTCGAATTCTTCCAAGGAGCGGCAAAGTTCAACGCGCCGCTTGCTAAATAAACGTATGACAAAATTGATCTGCTTCTTAAAGATTCAACAATTGAGAAACAATTTTCTTAGCACGAATAGATCAATTAGCTATAATATGTGAATCTGTCATCAAGGAAGTGAAAGACAATACTAGAAATTGGAACCTTGGGAAATACCATATATACGAATAAATATCAGGAAACGTTAGTATGAGTTTGTAAACTGAATGGAATTTATTTAAAAAAAAAAAAATATATTGACGAAATAACTATGCGTAGTTTCTTTACGTGATACATAAGTGCACCAAGTAACAAATCTCTCAAGAAAAATGATCATTGTGATTTTGAATTTTGGGTTCTTCCTTTCGATCGGTGTATCTTCTAATCGAAAATGACAACGATTAGACACAGTTGATTCGATTTAATGATTTTAGGGGGTAGCTAACGATCGTACAAAATTATTTACTATCGTTTGATAATATATACGTTTCCGTGAGCGCAAATTAAGAGAATTTTAATGGAAAATTCAGATAATAAAAATGTGACTCACCTCTCTTGAGCCTCTTTCATCCACCTCTCGAGGACCGGTTTTATTTTTTGCGCGCTCTTTGGCGTGATGTCCAACTTTTCGAATCTAAAGCCAACAACAAGTTATGGTTCTTGACCTCGGATATCACGTGGGGATGAAACTCGTAGGAAAAGAAAAGTTTTCGCGCCATACACGTAAAGACATCCACTACGGTGCTTCAAGCTTCGTAAGACAGCAACGAATCGTTGGAAATTTATTAATATTCTAAATATTAATTCTTCTCAAGAAGCACTATAAGTTTGGGAATAGACATGCCGTAGAACGTAGTTAAAGTTACAAAGGAACACTTGGCAAAAGTTCGTCTTTACGTTTTCGTTCGACTAAAGGAGCACTAAGAGGCATGCATTGACTCAAAAACAGGACATTGACAATGCGTGCATGCTTAAAGGTTTTGGTGATACCGTGTATGATGTTGCCAACGCTAATATTCGTAAGAGCGCAAACGAATTTAATCACCGTGGAAAGTGATCGACACTGAAAACGAACGGAAACACTCGACGGACGGTCGAAGTTGCGGTGTGTCTCGGTGTTTCGCGCGTTGGCGACATCATGCCCAAGTTTGCCAATGCCCTGGCTCGAAGAAATAGCTCGTTAACTTTCAAAAAAGTGCTCCTTTCGCATTTCTTTTCCAAAAAACGGAGTTAGGAATTAACGAGAGTACTTGCAGCTATACCCAAATATGGCCCGTGGTACGGATCGGGTAAAATGTTGGCTGTTTCTAGGACGAGAGGAAGAAAAGAACGAGGTGGCCAACAGACATTGGACATAGAAACCGTAACAAAGAAATCGGATGTGTGTGCGCATTCCTTTTGGTCGTATCAAAGGCAATAATTATTCGTTCGACATCCGGGGGTGTCATCGTTTTCGTTAATCACCGATCGTCGGTCACCGCACGCCGCATGATGACGATACACACGACGACTATAGTGTTCGGATTCACATACTTGGGTATAACTGCTATACTTCCAGAGGATTTTAAAAAGTTTTAGATTTTTAGGTGAATTAAGTAGCATGAGGGGTGAACGTACGTAACTTGCTGCTGAGAGGCAATCTGCGAGGCAGCGTACATCTGGGTAGCCAGGGCACTGGGGAACAATCACCAATGCTTAAATTAGTCGTTACAATAAGAATTCTAGGATGTAGAAACATCGTTTCTGCTTGCCACCGGCGTTGCCACGGTGGTTCCTTTCGTTTTATATTCTTTTTTTTCTCTCTCTCTCAGAACATTGGTACAAAAAAGCACGTCGTTCAGACTTTCATTTTAGGAACCATCGTGGCGGGTTACGTTACACGATTCTCATGGAGAACAGTCACGTGAAAGTTCAGTGACGTTCTGTCGGAATGCTTTTGCTCGAAGAGTGTTGCTTCTCGACACGATCAACAAACTATGCAAAAAAGAGACAAACTAATCGGGATAACTCGAGAATGGGATGATTCGACGCTTCGTTTTAGAGGCGTTCATGGAATCTCCGTTAACAATTACTTCACCGAAGATCATCGATTCACTCGCGGCCTGATAAGCGTACGTTTATTATCTGTCAAAACGTGAAACGATCAATGCGTTTCCACGCCATTTCCAGTGATCTGGCACTCTGTCGTAGCCTGTCGTCTTTAGTTTCAAATTCTCATCAGCGACGTCCGTTTCAATTTTGTGACAAAAAGAGAAAAGTGGACACGGCAAGAGTGCGAACACTCACCTGCATATGGCACTTTGGCTATAAGCTGGGCCCTCCTCCGCGCTCAGGGACTGACCAACCTGAGTCTGCGTCAAACCCAGCTGCAGTCTATGGATCTTGAACGCCTTCGCGAACTCTTTCATGTCGTCCAGATTGATGCCGTCGACTATGTTGCTCGTGGCCTCCTTGATGGTCGGCTGATCTGCAATTTAAGTTCCGGAATTTCTCGCTTAGGCTCTCGCTGAACTTCCAAATCGTCGAGACAATGATCAATTCTCTTCTCTCGCGTCAAGACAACGCTAGAATTTTGCACCAGTTACCCGGCAACCCAATGCAGTATTGTTTCAAATAAATCCACAACAGCACTTTGGGTGCAAAAAAATTTAAATAACTAAAACATCTTTTTCTATTAAGATGTCGACAAACAGAGTTCGACAACTACGTTCGAAGAAATAGTTCTTTTTTTGCATTAAGAAAGCAGGTTGAACTCGATGATATTTGTGAATTTCGTAGGATGTTGAAAATAAATGTTACTATGAAGTATTCTCGTCATATCCACTAGCAGAGTAAAAATTGTGCCTCGTGCCATTCCTTAAAGACTTCCCTCGAGTATCGCGATTCTTTTACGCGGAATCGTGGTTCGTAGTAATCGGGACGATGCGTTTCGCGGAGAATTAGACTGTTTGATTCGAGTTTGAATCGATTCGTAGGAATGTATCGAAGCTCTGGCGAGAAGCTGCCTAATGACATCAGGCGGCTTCGTTAAAGCAGCTTGAGCTACACCGATTTCACTCGTAAATCTGTCACCCCGAATGTATACGCACGCAATAGAGGTGCCCACATGCCCCGCAATCTCGACCAGTTCGCCGGGTTTCTGCGTCGAGCAATAAACTGCAAATCCTTCTTCCGCGGCACGCTGTTTCTGCGATCATTAATTTCCGATCGAACCCGAGCTCGTCGTTCCGTCGGACAAAAACGCCACGCTCTTCGGTCCGTTTCGAGGAGCGTACGAATATTTTCTCGTATCGCGATGACGCCAAACACCGTCCAACCACGAAGACGAACACGAATCGTTCGAATTCTTCGAGACGATCGCGGGTACGACACAATACGCGGAAACTCCCGGACTAAAGTTGACAAATTTCAGGCCATAATTGGGCAAAACGTGATCAACGAACGAGAGAAGCAGTTAAAGTCGTTGTAATCAAAGATCATGAATTCCATAATTCAATTGTAATGTTCTTTTTGTTAGATCATTACGTTGTCTAATAATTACCAGCAAAATTTTTCAAAGATTCGACTTCCTTGTTGATTTGTTTTCAAACAATCGACAGTGCTAAAGCAACGAATGTCTAACGCGTCATCGAAACGAGCAAACGCAAAATTCATATTACTGTTTTCAAATTTATCGTCTCCTTTAAATTCTCGAATCCGCGTCGAAGGATCCATGCGATTAGCGAAGATACCGATCGATAGATTAATGCTCGAGCTGGCAACGGGCATTCAGAATCGTTAGGCTCTCGATACGTCGATTATTCCATCATCTAAGCGCCAGCGTGGGCAACGATTGTGAATTATTGAAATTATTGTCGGTCGACTGGACGTTACGTGCACCGTCGGTATCTTTATGACTTCCCAGAAGGCAGAAGGAACGATCTAATACATCGTAATGAGCCGAGTATTGTACGATATCCTATTAAGATTATTAAGCGCTTCATTGCGCGACCAGAGCCTCGAACCTGATTATATATCAGCTTTGACTATACGTTAAATGTTGAATAGGCGAAAGAAGGAAGTATAATTCGAACCAAAGGACTAATGAGAATGGATAATAGTACAATAGGGTGCAAGAAGACGTTTAATGGTAAACATGATTCCCGAGGGCGCCGCGAAAGAAATTTATTAGTCGGTAATTTAGAAAATAGTAAACAATAATTACTCGTTAATACAAACGATTGTCATTAACTTTGAACGATGACCCATCTCGGTAGTTTGAATTCGTAATATTCGTTTTGGCATGACTCGAGGTCGATAAAAGAATGATCCAACTCTGTGACCATGTAGGTCTAAGTAAATCGGATTCTTGAAACATACAGTTACTCCCACTCGTACTCGTACACTATAATGGTGATTTACCTGTAAGACCATTATAAGAACCACCATTATAGTGTACGAATACGAGTAACTGTATGTACCTACAGATGCACATCCTCTTACACGATTTGTTAATACCACCAAGTTTAATAGGTATCCATTTTATAGAAATCTGTTTGTATTCAGATTCCTAAGTAAATAATATAAATTTGACAAGGGCGGCGATCAGGAACTGCCTTCGTTTTGCAATAATCTAGCCTGAAAGTGTGCCTTTGAAAAGCTTAAAATAAAAACTAAAAATATTGGGAAGAGCTTAAGAAGTAGACGTGGATATCACTAGGTGAATCGTACGGTAGATCTTCCTCTTTGAAACGCTTGAAATAAAAACTAAAAATATTGGGAAGAGATTAAGTAAACGTGGATCTTACTAGGTGAATCGTACAGTAGATCTTCCTCTTCTTTTGGACTATAGAGGCTGCTGGGGGACGCCTTTAAACCGGCGCCGCTGGGTCCGTGCGTCGTCGTGATGGTGATCTCCCCGTTGCTAGCCGCGAGTCTGTTCAACGCCGAAGCCGCGGATACCGCCGACTCGTGCAAAGGCGACGATTTCTCGGGCCTCTCTCTGTGATGTTTCTCCGTCGGCTGCGCGGAACACAGGTGGTAGTAACGGATTAGTAGCTCAACCAGGTACGACAATGCTCCTCTTCCACGCCAATTATACACTTAATAATGAGACCCCGGGGTTCGTCGGATCGAGACACTTTAGAGTCTAATTAGTGGAAGAAACGCCGCCGCCGCCGCGGAATACTTTCTTAACGAGATTGCTTGCTATCGGGAATTATTCTGGTTGTTCCGGCGATCTTGCGACGGTTAAGCCCTTCTACCTTCGACGGGGACCACGGGTTCCGCTCGTATATCGTTCGCGGGTCGAGAGTCGTCCGTATTGTTACGGAACACCGGGCAGGAGGGGTTGGTATAACGCGGCCATCGAATCGGAGGAGTGTTAGTTATTGACGAAACCGCGGTAGATAAAAATTCCTCGAAGAAAAAGTATCCACGAACGGAGTAGGGTGGACTCGCGTATAATTGAGGTAAACGAGCAAAACGTCGAACGATTGATCGTTTCGAAGGGAAACGGGAAACGTCCACGCGTGAATCTTGAGCGACTTCCGTTTGTTGTTTGAAAACTTTACGCGGTTACGGTACGCAGATTATGTATACGGCGCTGATTAAATTATACGGCGCGCTATTAATAGGAGTTGCCGGCGATACCGAAGTCATAATCCAATTACCGGGGCAGAAGCGTAGTTGTATTTCGTAATGAGGACCCGGGCGATTTTCAAGATCGAACCCCGGTTGTGCGATTAAATTGTAAAAGATGTAAATTATTCCCGTTCCGTAATCGACGGTTCACGTACCGTGTAGTGACTCACTGTAGTGCAGTGTGGATGGCTGTGCTGTTGAGGCGACGTCGTCAGAAGCGGTTGCTGGGATGCCTGAGCCGCCTGGACCGCCTGGACCGCCTGTGCCTGGGCCGCCTGCGCAGCCTGAAGCAGTTGCTGGGGCTGCATCGCGTTCAGGAGTTGTTGGCTGGCCGAGCTGTTGCTCAATAAGTGCGGCAACGCGGCCGGATTCAATCCTAATCCCGATGCTAAACTGGGACTTGTCGGGACTGCGTCATGGAAAAGAGAAACGTGGTCCACTTGAGAGCGACACGTTCGAGAGGGATCGAAGAGACATGTAACGAAAGGCACAAAGAGAATAATTTTCATACTTTTCCGGTTGGTCAACGTCGACGCGAGGTATCGTGTGAACTGATCGCTACTCGTGTAATGAAAAACGAATTCCATCCTACCTGTGAACTCACCATTGCTGGTCGGCGTGTTCAGCATGTTCTGTGGTTGGGCGATCGACTGAAGGTTCGCGAGCGTCGTGGACACCACTTGGCCGTTGCTGAGCGCCAAGTTGACCATCTGATTGTTCGTAACGTGGCTAACGGGAATGGTCAAAATGGTCTGCGTGGCGATTCCTGCCGGGGCAGTGGAAAGAATGTTAATGGCCGACAGATTAGAACGTAACGAAGCAACGAACGATAACAACCGAGACCGCGTTGATAATTCTATCCCCGCGGTTCCTCGTACGAACGTGTCTCGAATCAATAGATACTTCATTTCCATTATGAATATAGTCCACGCGTCGTTGATCCGGGAAGGGTAGTAAAGTTATCAGAGTCTCATAGAGGGATTATTAGGCAACCCATAGGGTAGGTAACCTCGCAGGCCAGCGTAGTTGGCAAACTATTATCGTCATCTTAATAGTGGGTACAGGTACTGGCACTGGACTGGGCTGCGAGAAGGACGCCTAATCATACTTAGAATAGTTTCGGGATTACCTCCAGCTCCGCTAATCTGATTACCCTGTACACGCGCTTAATATGATTACTGATCATGAGTACGTACCCGTGTTGATACCTATAGCTAAGCTAAAGCAAATCCCGTATTCCGAACAGCCATAAAAGTTTCGCGTTCTGAGGTAAGGTCAACTGACAATCCGATTAACGTTTAGTTTAAGCGACATTTGACGGTGATATTCCGTGATCTGGTTTCCTTTATTTCGCTACCAACCGCCGGCATAGGACTTTTTCGTTTTTCCAGCGATCGGACTAGAAACGATGTCTACGATAAGTGATTTTAATATTAAATGAAAACAATTGGTGAAAATAAATAAAAATGCATGTTAGACTTTGTAAATATCCCCATTACTCGTACAATGGCGTTGTCGGAGACCTCGGTTATCAATCAACCCTGATATTTTATAGAAACTCGTACCCGTTGTGCCGTCCCAAAGGGTCTAGCTCGTAAATAAATGAATAAACAAATAAATAAAATAGCCGTCTGACCTGAGTCTTTTTCAAGATTGCTCGATTCGGCGAAAATAATTCCCGCCCGGCAACCCCCTTTCAAGCTTATTCTTAAACAGAATTCTAAAACATTCGACGGGGACATTATTTTCGTTGCGAAATGATCCAAATCCTCACGACCCGCTGAACGGCATACAATATTCAGTTACTATTGCTTTCAATCGTTACCCCGAGAACGCGAAATTATTCGCGACACGTTTTTACACGACACGTAAAATTCGCTCTCTTTTCGATATAACCGGCGAACTGGTGCAAAAGTTCAGTGCCTGAAGAAGTGCCGTTAAGCAGCACGCATTTAACTGTTTCCTACTTGATGCATAATTGAATCGAGCCGCGAGAATACCGACAGACCGAGCGTCTCTTAAATAAACTCGTCAGAAGTTCGTGGGACGACCAATCAATCGGCACGGCCGACGGAACCTGGTGCTCCTCGACTCTTTCTTCGCACTCGACGTCTATCAGGAACCAATCGAGCGTTAGTCAGTTACCATCGATTGAACCGAAAAGCAGTGCAAACATTATTTGCCACCACGTAACTCGTCATCCCACCACGACTGGTCCATATCCACGAACTTCAATCCACTTAGGCGGACTCCCAAAGTTCTCCTTACCCTTCCGTCCTCTCTTTTCCCCCTTCTGCCACTCGTCTCAGTCTCTCTCTCTCTCTCTCGCTCTCTCCGTCTCTTGCACGCACACATACAATTGCCAGAATAGGAACCCAACTTGGTAGAAACGAAGTTAGCGCGAACCGCAATCGATATAATAGCGGCCGAATCCGCGAAGCTGTGATGTCCAGCCAGAGAGTACTAGGGTTAGGGTAGGAGGGACGGTCCCGAGGAGGCGAGGGGAGTTATTCGTGGGTCTGGAAAGGGGTAGTGAGACGTTAATTATACATTGAAATTAGTTGCAGAGTTTGCCCTCTGCTCGCCAGGCTAGTCTAGGACCACTAAGTATGGACGACCGGGCAAGCCTTAGTCCGAGCTGGTCAGAGATAGTCGATATTATATTATATATCGGCACATCTTGATTGCACAATATTATGCGCCGGCACATCGTGCAGATTTCACGATGAGACCACTCGGACTGATTTATGCCTAGAAATTCGAAGGTACTTAGAGGAGGATTATTGTTGGAGATTTCTTGTTGGCTCGCTGATAACAGGAACTACCTATCCCGGACCCTTTATCTCTCTACCGTTTAATTAAATTTCGTCCCGTAAGGTTTCGCGGTTAGCCTCGAACGTTTCGCCGATCTCCGCGTCCAGGACAACTCGAATCGAAAGTATCGAAAATATAAGTATATTACGAGAGATAATTAGGAGGCATCGCGGATGGCCCGCAAACTTAATTCATTTTATACGTCAAAAAAATATAATTGCATCTTTTTTCGAATGGAATTCTATAATTTGTATTGCCCTGTTCGATGCAGCTTTTTAATCTCTACGAAATGTATTCAGGCACTTATGCTCTGAACCTAATGGTTCGAGAGTTATATCGTTTTAAAGATTTATATTGGTTTATTTTGCAGATTGCAGTCTAAACATGTTATTTTTCGACTTGTCTCTTTCCGCAATTATCGATATTTCTAAACGAACGCGACGTCGAATTAACAGGAAGCGTAATTTATCTTTTAAGTACCTCATAAGAGAGTCAACGGGAGAGTTAATCTTACACCGATTTATATTAGACGTAGACTCGCGTTTACGAACATTCTAATGCGCAATAGTGCACGAGAACGTCTCAACGAAAATGAACGGAGACAGATAATAAAATAATTTAATAAACTTTGAAGCGTTATAACTGTTGAATTACCAGATTTAGTACCTGAACACTGTTTTTGTAGAGTTTGAAAGCCTGCATAAGGTTCAATTTAAAAAAGGATCGTTCGATACCGTTTAATTTTGCCTTAGTACGAGATTCCTACGAGACGAAAGTTTTCGAGCGAGGTCAATTTGGAAATTGAAAGGCCGCGAACAGCGTAAGAAGCAGAAGGCTTACCTTGCGACGTAGGAATAAGAAGCTGAGCCCCTTGAATGCCTTGGACCAGTTGACCGGACGTTTGGATAAATTGAGGCATTGCTACGGGTTGTGACTGAGATAATAGCTGCGGTAATGTCGCCATTGGCGCCGAACTCGGTGGCTGGAGGTGAGGTGCAGATGTCGTACTCGAGCTGGTTGGTACCGTGCCACCTGGATATCGGAATACGAGGATTTTAAAATGCCACCGACGATTCACACTTCGATTTACAAATCACTGTTGCAACTCGACCGCAGGAATATTCCGATTACGGTTAGTTCGGGGAAAAATGGGAAATCAGGTGTCAAATGTCGTATCATTCGCTCGTTGGAGTTCTACTTTCGACAGAGTTGGTAGTTGAAAATCTTACCGGATGAGCTGACAGTGAGATTCAAGGGCGTGTTTATGAGCTGATTGTTAGCTAACCCCGCAGTCATTCCCTGAAGACCCGCGGCTAATGAGGCGACTTGTGGGAGATTTTGTAGATTCGCCAGATTCTGAAGGTTTTGTAAGGTCACCATACCAGCCACTGGCGAAAGAAACCAAGACAAGAAGATCAATATACCCCACCGAGGCTCTGTTTAATATAATGAATTTTTGTTACTTAATCTCCATTTATAACGCGATCGAAACTAGGACGCTAGAATTAGGAGCACATCTTATTTTGAGTAATCGATACTTCCAGAGACGAGTTCGAGTCGTTAAGATGTGGAAGTATTTCTACCGTTGAGACGAAAACACTTTTAACTAATTTAATGTGACGTTTTTATTTCGAGCTGAGGGAGATTTGTTTATACAGGCGATCCGACTCACTTGTCCCGTTGAGATGCGCTTGCGCCACTGCCGCCCCCTTCGCTTGGTGTAAATTTTCAGGCGAAGAACTGCGACGCTTTTTCCGCGAAAGCTTCATGTCGTCCAGCATCATCTGATGATCATGATGGCTGCCAGTGGTGACTGGCTCGGGGCTGCCAGTGCTACTCCTGTCGCTGTCCTGTAACAAACGGACGTTTCAATTTTTAAACGCGTTAAAATTCTGTTAAACGTTTACAAATGCTATGTCTATTCTTATACAATTAATAGCAAGATTCTAAAAGCAGTTAAAATTTCCATAACAAATTTTACGCTATATTGTATTGATCGTGTAAGGTATTTTTGATTACCTTCGCGAGTTACAGTTTTGTACCTACATAATTTATTACACGTTTCTATGACCTAATTCACCGCATCAATTATCCAACAAGCAAACGTTTCATAGCTTCCGCGTAGTTCAGTTAAATCAATCGATGACGGAATGATATTAGTCCAGATTCGAGAAAATCAAAGTTACGAAACGGTCCTGGCAACGAGACGCGCGACGACGTACAACAGGACGAACAATTTCATCCAATCGATCGAGAGTCACTGTGCCCCAATAATTACTGCACGCCGCGGGTTTCAATCTTCGTGTCGTACATAAATACGCGACTCGAACGTCACGTATGAAACAGCGAGTTTATTGCTTATATTTCAAAACCATTGGTAACCCAGCGAGCCTTTGTAAACCTTTGTAATCGTATGTACAATAAAAAATATTCAACCGGCTCGATTGCCAATATATCGTAAACGGGGGCTGATCGAAGCCCCCCTTGCACGCCTACAATCGCGCGCCCGTTAATTTGGAACACCGTCGGCCCGTACAATAGAAAAATCGCACAAAGCGAATTATTTATGTTTATACAATATCGGGCAAGGAAACGGGACCGCAATTTTTTCACGGCGTTTTCGTCGCGCTTGAAATTGCATTATCGCGACGTGGCCGCAAGAATTTCGGTTAACGAGCTTCGTTTCGCCGTAAAATCGTCGTCGACGAGAGTGATCGAGAAAACCGGAAGCTTCATTAGCGTCCCGATGAAACGGAAGCGTTTCCCGCAACACGAACGCATGATTTTTCTATATTCGTCGATGATTCGTCGCACAGCTTTCATTGTTTCTCTTTTTATTTCCCTCTCCAGCAACCCTCCTGGTGGTGTGTCTACCGCCATTACTTCGTAGCGAAGCATTTTAACGTCGGCCAGTTGGACCGTGAATGATTATTAATCAATTTTCAACGTTAAACGTGCCGCCGCAATAAAAAGCGCGGTACGTTAACGAACCGCGCGCGTATAATTGAGCATTTTGGCGAGAATGATTGCGGGCCCGTGTTAAAACCTTTGCGCGGCCGTTCGATTGATTTCGGTCGCTAAGGAAAAAGAAAAAAGGACCAACCGCGCGCCTTCTATTTTTTAATCGCCGGACAGGACCGACAGAATCGCCGCGAGTGGAAATTTCATAGAACGTAAATTAACCTAAATGTTGACCTTAACACGTTCTTTTAATCGTGTAAAATTATTTTAAAAGAAACTTTTTTTAATTAGATAAATTTTTGCTTTTCCCATCAAGCGGAACCCAATAAAAAGTTCGACAGATTTAAAAGAATAAACACTGGGGTAAATTTTGGACCCAGTAGTTTCCAATTGTTTGAAAACTCAATGTTGGCCACGTGGAAAATTCCATGGACTCGGCCCGGCAGTCATCGCGTTAATCAAAGTTGTTTCGATTACGCAACGCGAATTAATTGCATCGATCCGATGGCGATCGATAATTTTTCGTACGCGTTTCGAAGCTGGTCGAGTGTCATTGAAAGTTGGAACGTTTATCGGAGCCCCTTGGGGTAGGTTGGGACCAGCGGTTGTGTTCACGAAGTCCTTAAACGGGTAGAAAGTCGAAACTTTTGGCGGGGGCGAGGGGTTTGGCTGACCTTCGTGAAACAACCGAACGCAATATCAAGTGAACTCTCTACGCCGTACTTTACATGCTCTTTCATCGACCAACTAGCGCGATATTCTATCGTCCTCGTTGCGTCCTTACAACTCTCTACGAGAACGGTTTGACTTCGCCAAAAGTCCAACAACAAACCGAAAGTAGATTACACTAGGCGCCCCTGGTAATCGTGATATAACCGGGATTGAAAAAAAACCAAACCCTTTGGGGTTGTGCTATCAACGTATAGTCTTGGAACGCGAAGGGTTGATCTTGTAAAATTCCCATTTGACGGGGTCCTGCGACAAAATAATTTTTTACCCCTTCGTTTGATTAATAATTCGAAGAATTTTTGCGAAACGTTAGACATTTCCCGCGGATCGAGTATCGACTGATAATAACCGATCGATGTAAACACGGGGAGTGCTTCGTAAACAGTATCGTTGATTAAACAACGTAAATTGCGAAGGAGTCGCGGGCGTAATGGCGTAATTGCGACTCCTTTGTTAGATTTGCGCGGGGGAAAACGTAAACCGAACGGGAACGAGCGGTAAAAGGGGGGAGGGTAAAAAAAAAGCGAGGCATGTATTAATCATTCGTCCTGTATCCCCGCGCTTTCGTGCCGCGCGATATATAATTCATGCATATTTACGGGATGCCGGAGGAATAATTAACGAACGGCAGCGCATTAAGGCGCGTACTGTGTGTACGTACGTGCACGTACAGTCGGCTTCTTAGAAGACAATCTAAATTATAATAAATCGATGGAGTACGCACGGGCCACGGCGATGCTTTACCCGCCACGAGTTCTGCGTTGTATATCGATGGGCGGCGGTGTACGAAGTAATGTTACCCGACGCGGCCTCTTTGCATAATGGCATGGAAATATGCCGGAACGTGTATCGCCATAGTTGGATACAGATTAAGCGTGTTAGTGCTTCGACATCCCGGCTAATTCGCGAAAAAGGAGTCCACCCGGTGGTTCGGGCCATGAATAAATTCGACGCGAGTTTCCCGGCTAACCGAGACGACCGACCAACTTACCCGACGAGACGGGGGCGATTTTACACCCTCGCCAAATTATTTTCCCGAGTTCCGTGCAGAATTCGTGCCTCGATCGGTACTCCGTTCGTTTTCAACCATACTTCAACCCCCGACCGATCTTACACCCTAAACGGATCGTTCGTTCTGTTTTATTTTCGTGCAATCGAAGGGGAAACACGGGTCGCAAGCGACCCGTCTAATGTTTCACGGCTCACCGTTCGCGTGGGACATCCACGATACGCTTTGGATACAAGAATACCCCGGTGAGTTTCACGGGACGGCGTGGAAAATGGCGGCCGGGAACGAAGTCACGGGAAAGATAGAAGTTATCGAATGATTCGAACAGGCGACCGGCCATTTTTCTATGTAAAAGGGAGAGAGCAACCCCTTTCCGCGCGTTGTAATTTCAAATTTTCGTCAGTGGTACAATGGAGCGCGGCGGTCGCCGCCATTGGTCCCGGGCATTTCATTGCATAAAAAATAGATAAAGCCCGGTCGATAGGTAACGAACGAAAATAGGAGGCGCAGTGGCCACGGCGGTAGTTCAATTTTTTTTTTCCACGCAAATTCGTAAACGGCTATACCGACGGTATGGCCACCCCATATTAAATGGACGAGGCGAGGGGGATTAGTTGAATGCACAGGCCCGGCCATTTTGCTTGTAAAAGTGCGCCCGATATATAGTAAGCCCTAGAAACGTATGTTTACGGGCTTTCGGCATTTCGCATAAATTAATCAGCCAACGAACCCCTTGCGCAAATACGACCGACGTCAGCCACGGACGGCGGCACGCAACCGACAGCTTTTCTTTCGTGGAACGGAAATTTGCGAATCTTCGGCCTCCGATCACGAAATCTTTAACGATAGTGCTACGAGCGAGACTGGACGCAGATTCTAACAACCGATACAAGCTTTTAAAACTTTTAAACAAATAGGTGTCAAGACCATTTCACCCCTTAGCTGTGCTTAACGAATATATTGGAATTATATCATAATTCAGCAAGAAATAATTACATAACTGTATAGAGATTAGTTTTAGGCCAATTAGAACGATTCTAGTAAAAATTGTAATTGTCTAAGCAATCATGGCGAACATGGATCCAGCCCTGCGAATCGAAGCTTCTAAGCATGTTTGTTCCCTCGTCGGATTTTAAACCCTCAAATTAATTATAGCATTCTTGTACCTAGATCAGTCTGGTTTGACTGTTCATTGGCTAAAAACAACGAGTTGAATTTATTGCTTATTGGCAACTCTTTTACAAATCGTCCAGCCCACCCAGTTACTCGATAAGTCTTTCATCCCATCAGTCAAGGGTGAAAGTAATGAGTTTCCATTCGAACGAGGTAGAAAGTAAAACAGTTCGTTGAATTCTCGTATGGACAATTCACGGAGCCCTCTCATTGACTTAATTACTCTTTCTAATTATCCTTCATCCATCTTCGTATTTTGGCGTGGAATTACGAAATATCGTTAACACGTTCGCCGGTTCTAATTACCCCCCGAATAAACTTCTCACTTCAAGTATCATTGCACTCACAGCCGAATAAAAAAGTCCGGTAACAAAGCTGTGGCCCAATAATTATTTTTAGCATCTCTATGTACCCCTAGAATCAACGTGCAACGGTAATCGATTTCCAGTAAATTTGATGAGCAGGAACTTTCAACGAAAACCTGCTGTGCATTTTCATTCAATTTTCCTCCTGTCTGAATTGTCAAACACAATAAAAGACACCGTGAAATATTAAAATTATATTTAATGCTCGTGCCGAGAAATCATTTTTCTGATTACAAAAAATTAGCTACGAAGCCCTGCTTTCGTAATTTCCTCGAACAACGTTAAACAATTCTGTACCAGAATAGATCTCCATGGCAAATCTCCGCGTCAGAATGCATACAAACAGCACCGTCGGTCCAAGTGCGCAGAAACCGGGGCCAGACACCTAATAACTCTTCGCTAACCGGAGAACCAAACCGAAAGGACAATGCTCGAAAATCGTGGGGTTTGGAACTCTTCAGGAAAGAAACAATTTTGCATAATATGCACCTAGAAGAAGCCAGGAATCGATAATTACTTAATCGACACGCGTCCGTTCATTATTATCCAAATCTTCTGAATCTAGTGTATTAGTATTTTTGTCGCACAATTTAATTCTTACTTTGAACATGCA